CACTCAACAGTATGTACACCAATGACCTGGTCAGTTTCTTCAATAGTTCCAACTCACGCTTACAAGTAATGTATAAGGTGCAATTGATAGGTTTGGAGTGATGAATGGGCCAAGAAGGCATTGGATTGGGCAAAGTCTCCAGAGTACAGTGAAAATGTGGATCCTGATTTGGTTGTTGCAGGAAGGCGGTTCGCGCCAGTTTTATTACAGCTTTTTCCTTTTCACCGGTCTTTTCACAAATTTTCAGCTTGATTGACAATGCGAGTGACAAGCCAGTATGGAAAAAAATACTCGACGTCTTAGAAGACCAGTTTGATGAAGCAGAAGCAGAGGTGAGTCGGCGGCGTCGAGGCTGTTGAGTTGCAAGGAAATTCCCAGTTTTTAGTGAAGTTCAAGAAAAAGGCTAACAGTATCGCCCCAACTCTTCCGAAAATGTTTCAAAAAGCATTGCGAGCCATGATAGGTCTTAGAAGAAAGCCGCGCACCTCAGCACTTCATTCTAGCGCTTGCATTAAAATTTGTATCGAGATACAATGTAAACAAACGTCATCACTGATATTGTTCCCAGGCGATTTCGCCCTCTGTTACCATGGAGAGGGCTACCTAAAATTGAAAAATTGTGTTCAGCTCGAGAGCCTTCCCCCAGGCACGGTGTACGGATGCAGCGGCTATATGGGCACAAGAAACACGAAAGATGATTACGTCACTGCTGTATGTCTCTATGAGAAACAGTAAATTATTCGCATTTCTTCTTAATGTCTCAATAAATCAGTAGAAGAAGTGAAAGGCAAAGTGACATTTGTCTCGAATCAATTGCGTGAAACAGCACAGAGTGGTAGTCGAGGCTGTATGGCTTACATACTCGCGATCAATAGTTTTACATTGCGTTTCTACACCACAATGCTGCACAAACCATTGTGTGCGGTAAGATAAAAAGTTTCATCCCCAAGCGAGAAAGCTACCAATCCGACAACAGAGAGGCTTGTGGTGTATCCTTTAGCAATAATCGATCCATAGTTGATCTCTGATTATCCATAGTGAGAGGGAGATACGAGCTGATCCTAGCATGTAATATACTCATTTTCGACCTTTCTTATTGTTCATGAGCAATAATGCGACCAGGTTGGAGTGATGCTCATTTGAGACACCCGCTCCTATATGATCTCAACAATTGGCATCACTCACCTTATTCTAGTTCATCCCTGGAATATGTGACTCGGTAAGAAAAGAACAGGTTCAGTGTAGGTCGACCTGGGGGCTTACAAAGTCTTATTTTTGTTTTCTGATTGAACGACTCAAGGTTTTTTATTCTTAGTAAGAGGGCGGCTACAAGTATGAAACATTTTTGAACACATCAAAGCGTTTGGTTATGTATGATTGCTTGTAAATAAAGTCAGCGCTTTGCGCAGAAAAAGCTATCAGGAAGAGAGCCATGAATAGTAGCTGCGAATATTTCTTGAGCATGAAAATTAGGTACACTAGCCATTTACAGATGACATCGTCAATCTGTTTCTGGCACACATAACAGTGTTAGCTTGAAAATTCTACATGATGGTACACGTTGTCGTATCGCACGATCAATCTCGACCTCAAACTTGAGTAATTAAACTGTATTGAGCTAACAAAAACAGTACAACAATAATGAGATCAAAGCAAAGGTAACTAAAGCACACTATGAGCATAAGTGAAGTAAAACACAATTCAGTTTAGGCACAACAGTCAAAAAGGGTAAATGATAAGGTGCTCTACAGGATCAAAATACAAATAAATCTTATGCTAATCTAATCATCAAGATATGGTCAATCTAAATGCTAAGAAGAAGATAAGATGCTTCTGTGGTAAAGGATTAAACAGAATACGTACAATGCTTTAGAATATTAGAAAGAAAGATAGAAATGCTCTAGAAGATCAGAAGGAAAGATAAAATGCTCTTACGGATTAAGAAGGCGTGTAGAATGCTCTCGATGCTCTGCCACGACTGGCATTCATCATGAGGCGCGGTTTCCTCCGCAATCAATAGATCAGTATAGATCACACATTGATCGTGTCGCAGGACATCTTCACAGTAGAAGTCACTGAACTAATTAAATCATAAGAAACACGTTAGAACAAACAAGGTAAGTGGAATACTCACTAGGAAAATAATGGCTCTCTGGTAAATATGTTCTCTTCTTTGGTCACATCTGTGACACATGTTGATTCGTGTGATTCTAGCGCACTATCACACACGAGGTGACGGGTGGCTTTCTGCCATCTGTGCGCTTTTGTGCTGTTTTAGCCAAGGGGATGTAGTTCATTCTAAGTAACAGGTAATGGCACCGAGGTGGGTGAGATGACCTTGATATACTAACACTGTTATGAGTGCCCTCTTCGAATTCGCGTGTAGGAATTCCTAGAATGATTAGCCGCAAGTATTTAGTAACAATGCAGCTTACTACCATGGAGAGTTTTGAGAGCAACTTCAACTGTTTTGTTGTGATGGAATCATCGTTTGTTATTCAGAACATATGCTTTGACGAAGAGTTTGCAAGTTGATCCAAAATCGCAAAGTGTTTAGATCTTTTGTATTGAAAAATCAATTGGCAATGCCTGCGCGGAACAAATTGGCACATGTTTAGGAGGAAGGTGTGCAACCAAAAAAGGCAGCATTGAGAAACTATTGCGTTAATTTCGCCTCTGTTTGATTTTGCAGGCCGAAACAGTTCGAACGGCTCGGGATTTAATGGCTCATATTCTAGCTTCAGATTGATATATAGTTCTTCCGAATAGTTTTTCTACTTCAGTATAGAAGTACTAAGTGTTGCAGTAATCATATGCATTAACTCGGAGACAACCTAGGACCAATTGTTGCTCAAAGGCACGCACATTTTAGAATAATTTTGGAGTATCTGGTTAAAAACGGATACTCCAAAAGTCATACTTAAGGATAGAGCAAGAAGGCGGAGAGAACGCGAAAAACGGTATTTATAGAGATGTAGAGCTTTAAAAAGTAGTAAAGTCACGGGTTGGATGAGAATGTGGCGACTAAATTTGCCTGGAAGGCGCGTTTGGATTAGCTGTTGAAACGTGTGTGCCATGGCATACAGCTGGCTACAGTAAGCTGCTTGCGCGCAACGTGTGCGTTGCGGTACGAATGGTGCAACCTACTCGTCCGCTTCGAATGTGTAGATCGACCAAGCCACTTTCGAGACCTTTGATAAGCGATGTGATTGCCGAAGCTTTTCTGAAAAAAAAAACTTGCAAAAGATTCATCAACACTATCGTTCCTCAGCTGAACCTCAGATGGTTTTGGTTTCTCGTGTTTGCAGCCAAATTTGATATAAGGACCATACTCCAGCTTAAGACTACACTCTTCGGTTGATGGAAAAGACAAAGAGCCTTTGGCTTTGGCTAAAAGTGAAGCGACAGGACGTATTGTATTTACTATAATAGCTACGCTAACATGTCGTCAATGGGGTGACATGATTGCATTTTTCATATTCGTCAGCTGCAGTGGTTTCTTCTGAGGATCAGCTAAGAAACAAAAGTGTGGATGAAAGCTTTTGCAAGTTTTTTTTTTCAAAAAAGCTGTGACAATTAATTATATGTACGTAGAAGCAGGTGCAAACGGAATACATCATTACTATCTATAAAAGAGTAGTCTATGAGGAAAATGCATCGCATTCAAATGTTCGTGTTGTTACCAGTACTGGCTCTCCTTGTTACATTTTCCTCTTCTGAGGGTGGGTACTTCAAATCGAGACTAACCCTACAATAACCCCGAACTACTTTTTCATCATACTATCGAAGCACTATTGAAATCACCCAAAATCTTTCTTTTCAGACCTAGAAACTCCTCTAGGCGATAAAGAAACTTTCGAGACACTCAACAGTATGTACACCAATAACCTGGATAGTTTCGTCAACGGTTTCAACTTACACTTAGAAATAATGTACAACCGATAGGTTTGGAGTGATGAGTGGGCGGAAAAGGCATTGGATTGGTTAAAGTCTCCAGACAACCGAGAAAGTGTGGGAGCTGATTTGATTGTTGGAGGAAGAAGGTTCGTGTCTGCCTTATCACGATTTATTCCTTTTCATAATTTCTCACAAGCTTTCAGTTTGATTGCCGATGCGAATGATAAGCCCACATGAGAAAAAATACTCGACATCCTAGAAATCCAGTTTGATGAAGCAGAAGCAGAAGTGAGTTAACAGCATTGAGGCTGCAATTCCGAACAGCGACCGAAAAATACGAAGAATATTGCCTAATTGCGTTTGGAAATGTTAAGAAAAGTTCGTCGAGCCATGATAGGGTTTTGAAGTGAAACTTAAATGCCTCAATTTCACATTCCAGCCACAGCACTAGCGTCTTGAGTTGTTTCGAAAATTGAGGTGAAACAAATGCAACCAATAGGGGCTGTTCTCCTGCGTATTTACCCTTTTTCTGAATTTCCCTGTGAATGTGCTGCTAGTAATTTTGTTTCGAAAATTTTTGTTTAGCTCGAAAATCTTCCCGCAGGCACGGTCTATGGATGCAACGGCTTCACAAGAATGACGAAAGAAGATTACGTGTCGGCTGTTTGTCTCTACAAAAAACAGTAAATCATCTGTACCTCCCTTCAATAAATTTCCTAAGCAGCTGTAGAGCAAAGATACACACATGTGAATTAATTCTGTAGCAAAATTCAAATTTATGGCTAGCGCAGCAACGGCGAGTAACAGTTCTGCCTGAGAGATGTAACTCGGTGAAATCTACAACTTTTATGCCCGCGTTTCATTAATCTTTCTTCTACTTCTTAACATTTGAATAGTTATGTGGCCTATATAAAAATGTGCATTCCAGTCGGTATAATAACCACAGAAGAGGCCGTCGATCTCAGATCTAATGTAATGTACGGATCGTGCATGTAATGGCAACTACATTTGGCACTTTCCAACTGCATGTTAATGTAGGAAAATTTTCAAAAAGCATCAATTTAAGCCGACATATTACTCCTAACTCGTGAGCAGTCAGTTTTCGGAGACATCAAATGTTTCTTACATTGCTTACTCTATTGGAAGCGCTGCTAACATGACTTTCCTTCTTGGAAAATTATCAAAGTTTTTCCCTAAGTGCAGCTCCTTTCTTGACGACTAATTTTCAAACATTCAGCGATGAATTCATCAATAAAGAATATTTTGTACTGCACTCGAGTTCTTTATAGCGATAAATTATAGTGTTCACAGTCTTATGGCATTCCTGCCTAGTTGCACAACTACATGCATCCCTTCGATGGATTATGCGACTTCGCGTTGATATTAAATAAAACATTATGCTCCTCGCGTTGACATTAGGACTTCGGCAGTTGATGAACGACGCGGGATACGTTGGAAATGTGAATTGATTTTAGAAACTGCTAGTTTTCTTTAGTGCTCAATAGGAGGCACTGAAATGAAAAATACTTCTTATTCTCGTATCAACAGTGGAGCTCTACTGCTTCAAGGTGGGACATAAAATGCTACTGGGCAGCAAATGACGGGGAATAAATTGATAGCAGCTGATAGAAGCTGATAAGGAACCCCAAAAGACAATATCTCTTTAGTTACACTTCTTTCTCAAATATGCGATGCAGCCTAACAATCTCTTTCGATAATACAGGATGCATTACTGTTTTCTGCTACCGTGGCCCCTCCTGCAAAAACGATAACTTTGAAGATTCCATTATTTATCTCAAAGTGTTACGTCAAAATCAGACTACTCTCATTATCCTTGG